CCCCGGACCTGAGTGGATTCTTAAGCTCCGCCCTGCGCGGTTTCTGGAATGTGCCTCATTTTGTGCAAATAGGGGGTCAGTGCCTGAGAAAAAGCAGCCACACCATAGCTCTAGGATATGCTTGTATCCCAGGTCCCCCAGAACAGCTGAAAGCTGCCCGAAGCCCTACAGAGCCCCTCCACCCAGGTCAGGGGTCATTCCCAACACCCGCCAGGCAGTGGGCGGCAGGTTTTCTCCCAGTTTTCTCCCAGCGGGCACAGATATCCAGGGGAGAAGTCGGTGCCGAGCCTGGTTCCAGACCCTTGAGTCTTTTCCTCCCAGGAGGGGAGGAGGGTTATAAATAGCCTGGACTCCTTCAGCCGTCCACAGCACAGATCCCACACCCCCGCCCCAGCCTCAGCCAGCTGGTCCCTCCTCGCCCAAGTTCCCACAGCCTGCTGGAAGAGGGAGGGAATCAGCCCACCCACAGTGGGGGTGGGGAACCAAGACCTTCAGGGCCCCTCGGGAGCAAGTGGCCACCTATGAATTATCACTGTAACCCTGCCACACTCTTACGCCCCTTGGGAATTGCAGGGCTGGAGAAAGGCGAGGGGCTCCCTATATGATCAGGGAGCCTCATTCACCCTGGTCTTTCACCACCAGAGGCTTCCCTGGTGGCTCAGTTGGTAAAGAGCCTGTCTGCAATGTGGGAGATCCAGGTTCAATCCCTGAGTCAGGAAGATCCCCTGGAGAAGGGAAAGGCTACCCACCCCAGTATTTTTGTCTGGAGAACTCCATGGACAGAGGAGCCTGGCGGTCTGCAGTCCATGGGGTCACAAAGAGTAGGACCTGGCTGAGTGACTAACACTTTCACTTTTCAGTTTTTCTTTTCACCCAGGTCAGCCCAGAAACCCCAAGCTGCACACTCAGTGTATGTTAATGCAGTGAATGGAGTTACAGGAATAACATTCTCCCCTCTCTCTGCCTCAGTGTCCCCACTGTAAGATGAATAAAAGCTGAACTCTGAACGATGAGGCACCTATGAGGTTAGCACGCAGTAAAAGTGAAAAGACACGGTCAAAACACTCCTGGTTTCCTCTACAGGAGCGCCAAGCACAACTCTGGGGACACTGATTCTTTTCTGTTCACGAGAGAAGAATTATGCTCAGTGACATTGCATTAGCCTTGAATTCTTGATATTTCATGCCCTTGAAAGCATAAAACTTACAAAATATTCTCTCTTGCAAGTCATTTCTGACAAATACAGATTGACACACAGCACATCCAGAATTCTTTTGATTTAATATGGTTCTGCTGGGCTGTACATGACATTTCAGTCTGAAGAGTAAGTATGGCCCTAGAATATTTAGGTCTGGGGAGAAAAAAGTCCTCTTAACTGTTCACCACTCAAATCCTTCCCGCCCATACACACTGGTAAGAAACAAGTGGCTAAAATTTAAGTGGCCAACTTGCAGTTCTTTTTAATTAAGACACTTTGTTTTCTCAATAAAATACAGCGTAAAAAACATTTACTGAAAACCCACTCATTGATGTCTAATAGCTGTGTCAAATACTCATAACAACATTTATTCCAACACCCCCAGATAATTGCTCATCTTTCTCATTTAGTATCCACAACAGCACAGCATTTGTGTCCAAGTGTAATTGATCCAGAATTGGGCTCCCTTTCAAAAATATCTGTAAAACCTAATTACCAGGAAAACAGAGTTCTGGCATCCTACGGAAAGTGGGTGCTTCGCAGTGAGACAAGCTGCAAACTCATCTTGGCTAATCAAGCCACATTATGTTACAAAAGGAGGTGGAGGAATCTGGGGTGAGGAGGGAGCAGGGAAAGTTGGGATAGTGTCAGACTGGAAATCTGCAGTGACAGTTCTGATTTTTTTTAATCCAAGGACAGGGGGCAGGAAATTAGCTGGCAAACATGGAGGTAGAAAGCACCAGATAATGAGCCCATGATGGGCTTGGGGTGTGGGGGTGGCATTTCTGATCTCAGGCCCTACAAGGCCTTGCTGAAGGAACTCTCTCCACCCTGCTCTGGGAGGTTGATGTCATTTCTAGCCTCCCCCGGCCTCTAACACTGTAGCAGGTCACTCTCCTTCCCTGAGCCTGAGTCTGCTCATCTGCAAAAATGAGCGCTCTTAATATTTCTAGGGCCTCTTTCAGCTCCAAAATCCTGCGACTTCCTTTGCAGCAAAGGGCGTGCTTTCTGCTCAGGTACTTGGTGGGGCTGGGGGGAACAGAGAGTGGGAACGGGACCAGCCAGAATGAAGGACTGAGTGTTTCCAGCTCTCATGCAGTTCTGTACGGACTTGCAACACCCGGGTATCAGACTCTTTGGGGATAATGATTTCTTTCAGGCCAGGAACGGACCTACCCGGGTGGTGCTAACCTCGCTGCCCTGGATTCAGCAACCTGGCCAATGAGGAACAGGGCCAAACCGCTGGACTTCTTGAGGAGCCTCTCTCCCAGTGCGGACCAAGACACAGCTTCCTCTTCTGAGGGTCTTCCCTTCCCACCGTCATCCCTCTTTCTGTCCCAGAGGCCCCAGAAACCCCAATACCCCGAGGCTCCTTGGGCAGGCAGTACACGCCACCAACTCCGGCTTCCCCTCGGTCCCGGACCCTCCACACCGCGGCTTGGGTACCAGCCATCGCGGCTGGATTCAAAGGAAAGGAGAGTTGTTGCCACTCCGCTTTTCTTGGGTTCCTCCTGGCCCTCTTCCTAAAGAAATCAGAGAAGCAGCCCTAATAACAAAGCAACACAGCGGTTGGAAGACGGTTAGCTCTCACAGGAGCAGGAGATGAGCCAGACCAGGAGCGAAGGCGCACCGGGCTCCTTTGCGCGTCTCTAGAAAGAGACTTTGGGCTGACCTCTGCGGGCAACAGATACCCGACTGGCCCTCGCTTAACTTTTCCCAGAAGCGGAGGAACCGTTGCGTGCGCCCATTTCCCGCAACTTCCCAAATGGACAGCAGCATGGGCTTCAGGGTCCTGCAAAGACACCACCTCGAGTAGGCGTCTCTACGAAGTCCTGGAGGCGCATCGCGAGATGCGGGGTCCCAGGTTTCCCCGTCCCTTTCCTAATCTTCAAGATAAGAGCTCAATGCGAGTGCCAGAGTCTCAGGAAACCGCCACTCTCCAAAACGTTCCCGCGCCTTCCCGGCAGAAGTGCGGTAAAACTTTTGGCAGAAACCACCTGTGGCTGTCGACAGGCCCGCCCCGCCCGAGCCCGAAGGCGCCGCCGAGCCCAGGACAGCATGCGCCCGCAGAAGTTCCCTTCCAGCCCCGCGCGCCACTTCGCTCCGGGCCGCGGTGCCAGCCAGGAGGCGCGGCGCCCGCTCGCTGGCTCGCTCTCCGCTGGCTCTCCCCTCCTCCCTCCCCCCCTCCTCCCGCCTCCTCCCGTTGCATGGCTGCCGCACGGAGCCCCTGAATAGCCACCGCAGCCCCCCGCCTCCTACCCGCCGCGCCGAGGGCGCCCCTGCCCCCGCCGGCGCCCCGGGGCGCGCGGACCGCCGGCCTCCTAGCAACAGCTCGGGAGATCACTCCCCGGCGCCAGCGATGTAGAGCCACTCCTCTGGGAGCCCCGCGACCCCCCGACCCGCCTCGGCACAAGCGAGGTGCGGGGAAGATCGCGACCCTCGCAGGCGATGCCCCAGCTCGGCACGCGAAGCCACTCACCTCTGCGCGCCGCCCGACCCGCGCGTCTCCCGCACTTGGCGCCGGGCCGCGGTCCTCGCGTCCTCCTTCGCCGCCGCTGCGGTCCGTCTGTCCCTGCGCGCCGAAGCAGCGCGGGCCGCGCGGCTGTCAGAGTCTCGTGGCCGGGCTGCGCCCGCGGTGTGGAGCCGAGCAGCGGTGGCGGGCGCGCGGCAGCTCCTCCCTCCCCGCGCCGCGCCTCCGCCTTCCCGGCGCCCCGCCTCCCGCGCCTCCGCGGCTGTCAGCCCCGCGCCCCGCGCCCCGCGCCCCGCGCCCGCGCTGTCCGCGCCTCCGGCTCGGGGTGCGCACTGGGCTAAAGGGCCCGGATGTCTGCGGTCGCCCCTCGCCGGCTCCCGCCCCCTCCCCTGCGCCCCCTCCCCGCCCTGCCACACATGCACTTGCTGCGTCCCAACCTCCTCCTCGGCTCCAATTAATTTCTATTTTGACAGTAACTGTGGCGGCGGGCGGGGCGCTCAGGACCCGCAGGGGCGGCGGGCGGCAGTCAGGACGCGGCGCGGGGGGCGGAGTGGGGGGCCGGGCAGAGCCACCCTCCGCTTGGGGCTCCGCGTCTTTTCTCTTTCTTTCCTTTTTTTCTCTTTGCCTCCTCCAGGATTTAAAGGGACAGCCCCGGCCGAGGCGAGGGGCCAGGCGCCCGCCGTTTCTCCGGTCTCCAGACGCCCTCTGCGGCCCGGCCGGACCCTCCCGCACCCGGAGCACAGGCTCCAGGCCGCCGGGTATTTTTAGGTCCACACCCGGCCCGGGACAGCGGGGCGGCGGAGCTTGGCTCGGTGGCCCCGGCGCAAGGCTATTTTTACAGAGTCCGATTGTGGGGGTGGGGGAGGAAATAAAACAACTCAGCAGCTGCTTTTCCAACCGAAAGTCTTAGGGAGCAAGGCGTGGGGGGCTTGAAGTTTCCCTAATGCTCTCCGAATTCCAGCGAGCTCAGAAAGACACCTCTCCGACAACGAGAAACCACAGGCACGCAGCCCTCCAGGGCTCCCAAATCCCTGCGGGCCTCCCCGCCCTAGAAGGCGCTCGGGCGTGGGGAGCACCCCCACCACCACCGCTCGCCAGCCAGTGTACCCCGCACTCTGCACCGCGTTGGCCTGGGACCGGCCTCCGGCTACCGGTCCCTCCCCTGGACTGCCTGGGGGCGGGCCTTCCGAAGCATCCAATCAGCAGGTTTCGCAGCCAAGGGGCGGGCCTAGGAGGACTTGTCTCCACCCCCGTCTCTCCAAGCCCCGCCTCCGCGAATAGGGTACCAGCCGGAGAGTCTGGGTGCGAAGGGCAGCGAGGCGGCGAGCGGTGATGGACAGCGCGAAGGGCCCATCCGAAGGCAGAGGAGGGGGTCTTGGTCCCGGAGCGACGGTGTGGCGACTCTCGAGCAGACCTTCTGACCACTCGCAGGCTGGGGTACACGGACGCTCTGACTTTTTACCACCCCGCCTTCCACACTCCCGGCTAACATAGAAACCCCTGCCCGCTTTGGCAGGCGGGATGTCTGCAACTGTACCCTCGGAGGTCAGCCGATCCTCTCCGGACCTCCTCCTTCAGGGGCGGCGAAGTTATCGGTCCTCAGAGTCTTTGAGGAGCTGCGCTTTCCTGAGCCGTGCTTGGCGCCCAGGAGAGACGAGAAAGCATATCCCGCCCTCCTGTTCTCATCCTATCCATTGACGAAAGAGCGGACAATCGGACTCCTGCTGTCTGCGGAGCGTCTGACTATTTATTGAAGATACTCGATGACATCCTTCACAGAATTCACGAAAATAATGAACCTTTTGCTTGGCGCTTCTTACCAGTGTTGCTCACGAGGAATTGCCCTCGTTTCATTCATTCGTGTAATAAATGCACATTGCATGGTACCACTTTGGTGTAATGAAAAAAAGGGGAAAGGCTCTGGAATGGGATGTGACAGCGGAAAGCTAGGCATAAACATGAAAGGAAGAGCTGATATGTAGAGCTGTGTACAGCCTACACTGGCCAGAGGCCTGGCTTTTCCTAATAAAATGTCATTCGTTTGACAGTTTGAACAACCAGCTTATCCAAACTGTTCAAAGGCAGTTTGAAGAAATCAAAAGAAGTCTGTCGTGGAAACTGAGAATTTTAGATGCAAGATGTCAGACTTCCAAGTAGCTAAGGCAAAATAACATCCTCGCTTTAAGCAGCCCTGGGAGCCCTTGCCCTCCCAAATTAGGTTGTCTGTCTCCCTGCTAAATTAGGTTGTCTGCCTCACTTCCTTTCATTAAAGGGTCTTCAGCCATTTGGAAGACTATTGACCCAGCTGATATGGTCAAGCTAAAGCCAGAAGCATGGGGGTGCATCTAGGGTGAACCTGGGAGATGTGAGCCCTGTGAGACACCTACAGACAATAGGAATGCAGTCCAGGGGGTGAGGGCAGGCATGGCAGTGAAAGGGGTGTTTTGTTTAAGAAAAAGAGGGATGTGCGTACTAAATTAGAAGTGCCTCTAAATCAGAAAGTTTCTCCTCCCTTCTCTGGGTAGAGCTGGCTCAGAGCAGATGTTCAGATGGGGATCACTGAATGGCTTTTCGTGTCATGAGCTATGGAAGAAGGGTCCGTGTTCTGGACAGTGAGCTACAGGGCTTCTGAACCTAATCACCACAGGCAAACATTTTATAAATTTAAGAGCAATCAGGATGTGACTGGTCTGCATTAGTGATAATACGGAATATTTTTAAATGGAGCAGCTGTTACACTGCGTTCACAATTTTTATTCAGTTGTCTTTTTTCCAGCAAGACTTCAAGCTCCTTGCCCACCTTGGTATCCTCTGTACACTTCACACTTGATAGGTGCTCATTAAAAGATTAATGAACACAAAGTCATTTCAGAATGGTGGAGTAAGCAGGGTAACGTGCACAGACAGAAATCAAGTACACTTTGTGAGACTCATTTGCGATTTACTAGTCTGTACAGAAGTGCAACTGTCAATTTTGCCACACATAATAGGATTCACTGGCTCGTGCCAGACTCTTCTCTTTATCGGCCATGTAACATAGAAAAGCAACTTATTCAATTCCTCAGTGCATCCATTTCCAAATATGTAGAGCAGAGATACGAGTGGGAACTCTTCTTCACCTTAGGGACGTTAGAATGACCAGGTGAGAAAAGGTGTGGGCAAGTGTTACCTTGTGGATGACATTCCTTAAGAAACTACTGTGGATCAAGCACAGAGGAATACATTGTAAACTGTCAATATTATTACTGGAATAAATTTTTTCAGAAATTATCTGAGAATTGGGTTCATATATTTGTCTGTGCTATCTGTGTGTTCAAATCCTAAAAGATGATGTTGTGAAAGTGCTGCACTCAATATGCCAGCAAATTTGGAAAACTCAGCAGTGGCCACAGGACTGGAAAAGGTCAGTTTTCATTCCAATCCCTAAGAAAGGCAATCCCAAAGAATGCTCAAACTACCACACAATTGCAATCATCTCATAGGCTAGTAAAGTAATGCTCAAGATTCTCCAAGCCAGGCTTCAACAGTATGTGAACCATGAACTTCCAGATGTTCAAGTTGGACTTAGAAAAGGCAGAGGAACCAGAGATCAAATTGCCAACATCTGCTGGATCATCGAAAAAGCAAGAGAGTTCCAGAAAAACATCTATTTCTGCTTTATTGACTATGCCAAAGCCTTTGACTGTGGATCACAATAAACTGGAAAATTCTGAAACAGATGGGAATACCAGACCATCTGACCTGCCTCTTGAGAAATCTGTATGCAGGTCAGGAAGCAACAGTTAGAACTGGACATGGAACAACCGACTGGTTCCAAACCAGGAAAGGAGTACACCAAAGCTGTATATTGTCACCCTGCTTATTTAACTTATATGCAGAGTACATCACGAGAAATGCTGGGCTGGATGAAGCACAAGCTGGAATCAAGATTGCCGGGAGAAATATCAATAACCTCAGATATGCAGATGACACCACCCTTATGGCATAAAGTAAAGAAGAACTAAGGAGAATCTTGATCAGAGTGAAAAAGTTGGCTTAAATCTCAACATTCAGAAAACTAAGACCATGGCATCTGGTCCCATCCCTTCATGGCAAACAGATGGGGAAACAGTGGCAGACTTTATTTTGTTGGGCTCCAAAATCACTGCAGATGGTGACTGCTGCCATGAAATTAAAAGATGCTTACTCCTTGGAAGGAAAGTCATGAACCTAGATAGCATATTAAAAAGCAGAGACATTACTTTGTCAACAAAGGTCCGTCTAGTCAAGGCTATGGTTTTTCCAGTAGTCATGTATGGATGTGAGAGTTGAACTATAAAGAAAGCTGAGCAGAGAATTGATGCTTTTGAACTGTGGTGTTGGAAAAGACTCTTGAGAGTCCCTTGGACTGCAAGGAGATCCAACCAGTCCATCCTAAAGGAGATCAGTCCTGGGTGTTCATTGGAAGGGCTGATATTGAAGCTGAAACTCCAATACTTTGGCCACCTCATGTGAAGAGCTGATTCATTTGAAAAGACCCTGATGCTGGGAAAGATTGAAGGCAGGAGGAGAAGGACATGACAGAGGATGAGATGGTTGGATGGCATCACCAACTCAATGGACATGAGTTTGGGTAAACTCCAGGAGTTGGTGATGAACAGGGAGGCCTGGCATGCTGCAGTCCATAGGGTCACAAAGAGTCGGACACGACTGAGCAACTGAACTGAACTGAACTGATTTATCTGTGTCCCAAGGGTGGTTAAGAGGCTGATTCAAGAGAAAAGAAAAGGCAGGAATTAACATTTATAGTGCTCCTTGCATTGTTATGTGTTCCTCAGGACAACTTTGTGTGATGCATTCTGTTATGACCATTTATAGATGAGAGGCTTCCCCAGTGGATCAGTGGTAAAGAATCTGCCTGCAATGCAGGAGACACAGGAGACGTGGGTTCTATCCCTCGGTTGGGAAGATCGTCTGGAGGAGGAAATGGCAACTCACTCCAGTATTCTTGCCTGGAAAATCCCATGAAGAGAGGAGCCTGGTGGGCTATAGTCCAAAGGGTCACAGAGAGTCAGACACGACTGAGCACACACACCCACCATAGATGAGAAGACTGAAATCAATAGCAATGGTAATGAGCAAGGTTCTGAAGCTGGGAAGTAACAGAGGCAACTCTGGAACCCAGGTTTGTAAGTTCAGGAATCCAATCGGCAACTTATTCTGTGGTGCTGCCTCTAGAGAAGAAAGAGGAAAGAGCCTGTCAGGAAATCGGGCTAGAGAGAATTGCAAGAAAACAATTGGTAAAGAATCTGCCTGCAGTGCAGGAGACCTGGGTTCGATTCCTGGGTTGGGAAGATCCCCTGGAGAAGGAAAGGGCAACCCACTCCAGTATTCTTGTCTGGAGAATCCCATGGACAGAGAAGCCTGGCAGGCTAGTCCATCAGGTCACAAGCATTGGGACACAACTTAGAAACTAAACCACCACCAATAGTCTATTTTACCACAAGATAGGTGGGACAAAATGCAATCTTGTTTGAGAGGAACTTCCTGGAGAGGGTGGCATCTGATTCAGTCTCTTTAGATTCACATACACACTCTCTCTCTTTTTAATTTTTTATTTTTAGATCATTTCAGATTTTCAGAAAATAACAAAAATAACATTAAGAATTACTATCAGAGAAGATGTGGAGAAAACGGAACCCTCTTGCACTGTTGACGGGAATGTAAGCTAACACAGCCACAATGGAGAACAATATGGAGATTCCTTTAAAAACTAGAAATAAAACTACTATATGGCCCAGAAATCCCACTACTGAGCATATACCCTGAGGAAACATAATTGAAAAAGACACATGTACCCCAATGTTCATTGCAGCACTACTTACAATAGTTAGGACATGGAAGAAATCTAGATATTGCATGGAAGTAACCTAGGTTGTTGATATTTCTCCTGGCAATCTTGATTCCAGCTTGTGCTTCATCCAACCTGGCATTTCACATGGTGTACTCTCCATAAGCAGGGTGACAATACACAGCCTTGTCATAATCCTTTCCCAATTCTGAACCAGTCCATTGTTTCATGTCCAGTTCTAACTGTTGCTTCTTGACCTGCATATCAGTTTCTCAGGAGGCAGGTAAGGTGGTCTGGTATTCCCACCTCTTTAAGAATTTTCCACGGTTTGCTGTGATCCACACAGTCAAAGGCTTTAAGCGTCATCAACAAAGCAGTAGATGTTTTTCTGGAATTCCCTTGCTTTTTCTCTGATCCAACAAGTATTGGCAATTTGACCTCTGGTTCTTCTGCCTTTTTAAAATCCAGCTTGTACATCTGGGAGTTCTTGGTTCATGTACTGTTGAAGCATAGCTTGAAGGATTTTGAGCATTACCTTGCTGGCATCTGAAATGAGCACAACTGTGCGGTAATTTGAACCTTCTTTGGCTTTGCCCTTCTTTAGGAT